GTGCGGCGGCGCGCGCAGCCAGCGGCGCAGGGCGGCCGCGCCGCGCTCCAGCTGCGCGCTGACGTCGTTGAGCACGCAGCACGCGCCGTCCACGCTGCCCGCCGACACGGCGCGTCTGGGGACATGCCGTCGTGCTCTTTACCATACTAAACCACACGAAGCCGCAATAACGAAAGTTAAAAAAGGACACACGGTAGTTAAATGTAAATATTAATGTATTTTATTATAATAAACATCTAAAGCCACTAACCTGATTACCTTCCTCGCTATAAAGAACACATCATCCACCAAACTAGATGTGGTAGCCCCAACCTGTGGTGTTGCCAGCTTCAGTGCTTTATTTACACTCTCCTCCAAAAAGTATCTGTAAAATTACAACAAAACATTTTAAATTAACTTTGAAAATTAAACTAATAGTGTATTTTATTTATTGTTATTATATATTAAGTATTTATATTTATATTACATTTATTTATAATATAGTTATAATTTAATTATATTTTTTTATACGTATTTGTTATCGTAATTTTTCTTTTATCTTCTGTTACACTGTTCTGTGTCTAATATTTTTATTACATTTCCTGTATCAGGTCTATTTTATTTATTTATTTATTTAAGTTTTATACAATTCCATAAGTAGGACTTAATGCTAACAGCATTCTCTGCCAGTCATCCTTTGGGTATTGTAGAAATGTATGTGGTAGGTGGTAAACTGCAAAACTGGTATGAGAAATAGTGGTAATTATCCAAATTAATAAAAGGGTATCAAAAGCATACATAAAATACGTAAATGTAATCGTATAGATATATATAATTACATATAATATAAATATCATTATACATATAAAAATATTTGTGACTCGTATATGAATTTGTCCTATGTTACAACAAGATGAAAAATTATGAAAGATGTTATTAAACTGCCAGCTTTCCGCTAATGTACTCATGCGCCCTCCGCTTGATACTCAGACGACTGGTCTACTGAAGCCAGTCTACTGGCCTATTGGAAGAAATTCCAATAGGAATAAGTAGCACCTTTATTGGACTCTTATTTTATATTTGTGTTATCCTCTGTGCTGTTTGTGTGTACATAAATTATTAAATAAATAAATAAAATAATCATATGAGTTAATATTATACCTTTCCAATGCCAGATAATATCCAAGTATTTCCTGTGCAGTTCTCATAAGGTCACACTCTGCTATAATCTTCTCTACTGCGTCCTTGCTTGCTTTCTTTTCAGCGTCTTTCAAAGGGGCCGCGTCCACCTGTAGCAGAAACGAACAGAAAGTGAAAGTTGACAAAAAAAAAGAACTACGTATTTGGAGACAAATTCGCATATAAGTTATAAAACAAAGACTCACTGCGTAAGTTTGATCACAATAAACTTAAAAACTTAAATACAAAGTGGTTCCGTTGAGGGAACGAGATCTCGCTAGACGACTTGTATAGCTCTGTTTCTTTCCCTCAATGGAACCATTTTGACTTATCCCTATCCCTAGAAAATATAGTGATTCGTGGAATGGGATAAGATTTGTAAAAGTTAAAATATAGTTACCTCAGCCTTTCTCCTGAGGAAGGAGAAGTATAGAGAGATGCGTGAGTGTGTGAGTGCGAGCTCTGCCAAGACAGGCTCGGCACTGAGCGGCGAGCTGAGTCCCCGCGCCGGGTCCTGCGTCAGGCGCCGCGCCGCTACTAGCTCGCCCGCTATACGACGGATGCCTGAGCATACCTGCGGCAAACAAAACAACTTATACTGATAAATACTGATAAATGTAATACAAACTTGGAAATTGTGATAGTTTCCCCATAAATCTCGAGAATGTTTAGTTGAATAATAATTTCATTACCCAGATTAGTTTCTCTTATCAAGTTTGTAATACTCTCGAATATTAAAGTACTATTTGTAGGGAATAAAAGCCATGGCACACCATGACCATAGAGTGAATTAAGAAACAGTGAATATAATAAGTAGAGTGTACATACAGCAGGCTGTATGGCCAGTAGCGCGCGATGCAGCAGGCCGGGCGCGGCGGCGGCGGCGCGACGGGCCCGCTCGAGCGCGGCGCCGCCCGCCTCCACGACGCGCGTCACGGCGTCCGCGTACACGGCCGCCTCCGACCGCGCGTCCGACACTATGCAGGCACGGCGGATCACGGCCTCCGCCTGCACAAGTCAAATAAACTTTCAATATGTACTATAAATACTATTTATTATATTTCGTAGCCTATTGGCTACAAAACATGTCGCTACGATCAATGAGCACCGAGCAATGCGGATGAAACCGCGCGGAAGCAGTTAGTCCAATATAAAACTGGATGAGCCTTAGCAAGGACTATACTGTGGTATGCATTTTCGACACTTTGGGGGTGGTTTAAAGTATAGTTTTGTAGGAGATTCTAGGTACAATTTAGCATGAAAACTGACTGGATGGTCAGCAGAGAAACTAGACAACCAGTCACAACAGAAGAATAAAAAAATTTAATGTCATAGAAAAAGTTATTTTACAGAAACAGTATACTATACTGACTTGTGTTGCCAGATACTTGGCGAGAAGATCTACTCCTTCCTCAGCTCGTCCAATTTGTGGGAACAGCTTGAACAATCTTTCTATACTTGGTTCATCTTCCTTGCGAGCTGCCTCTTCAAACCTATAAAAATTTTGGTTTACATACAATATCTTTTATATTTTACTCACAACTTGAGGAATAAAAATATTTTTTATGCTTACTTGCGCACTAAATGTTCTCGAAGTGTATTTGCAGCACGAGTCATAGCATCCCTTGGGTCTGGAGCACCACGAGCTCTTGCTGCAGCCACTGACCCTGGATCCATGCTGAGAAATCTAGAGACGTGGCCAGCACCTTGAAATGTTACATATTAAATTTATTAGGCCAAATTCAAGACTCTTTAGGAACTTGTTTTTAAAACATACCAGTTTCGTAATCATGTGCTTTAATAGCAGCCTCAACTCCTGCACTGCACAGTTGAAGATCTATCAAGTCGTGCACACGACGCTGGCATTCTGCTACGCGAGACTAAAAACAAGAAGATAAAATATGTTCTCAATACATGTCCACAGTATTTCCTTATTACATTCTATGAAAATATTCAGCAGCATATTTACTCTCGCAAGGTCCAGCTGTCGCACTTTAGCACTGACATCCCTGGCAAGACCGGCTGTCTTTTCCACCATGTCAGCGGCAATTTGAGAATCCGTCTTTACATCATTGAGCTTCGTATATGCTTGACTAGCAACGCGGAGACGGCCTTCTAAGGAACATGCTCTGGATAACACTCCCGAGAGAGCCTCATCCACCTCCGCCTATGAAAATATTATAATATACAAAATGCAACTTATGTTACTTGTGCCATCGTCACCAAAACAGTACAACTCACCTCTTCTTTCTCAATATCATTGAGGGCTTTCTGTAAGCCCTCATCTGTAGATACATCATATTTTTCTAATAAGAGACTGAGTGACATTTTCGAAAAGTTATATTATTCACATGCAGTTTAATTTGTTTAAACTTTGCAACTATCGAAAACAATTCCGAAATCACAAAACTAAAAATCAACAGAGATCGACAATTGACAATTGAAATGTCAAAGTCACCGAAAATGTCACAGTGACATTGACAATCCAACAAAACAAAGTTGCCATCTAAACAAAGTGTCAGCTGTGCTGCTTATTCTGTGCTTGATAAAATTCTTAGTAATGATAAACTATTTAACACACTCATAAATAATGGATACCTTGCTTTTAAATACAATTTTTATAATTTTATATCGTAACTATTTTTATTACTGATACTTTGAAAAAAAAAACAAGAAAAAATGGCAATCAAAAACTTGACAATACTGAGGAACAATCAAAACCTTGAATTATGTTTATTTCGTGAGAATTTTCATGTTTATTGTTATTTTTTGACAACTTGAATGTTGACTATTTTCTTAAATGAAAGGTGTCTATTGAACTGTTGTTTTGTGAAATTATTTTGTATTGCTTTTGATATATATGAAAATGATTTAAGTGATAAAAGTTTCTGAGTGAAGACCAACAATAACCTTGTCAGTTATTTTGATCAGACCTTCAAAAATTGACTAGTGGACAAAAGTACGATACCTATGCTGCAACATTAGTAAACATAAAAACTTGTGAAATCGTAAAATCGATGTGTTGTTAACTGCTCTGTATTCCTCAGGGTATTTAAAAGTGTAACACTCCTTAAAGGACAGATTTCTTTGTACGGTGAAATAGGAATTGTTAAAGGTGAGTGCTGAGTGAGACTGAGGGCATTTATTGCATAAATTAGTTAGTATTGGCAAACAAGATTCGTTATTGTGGAAACGGATGGTTCGACGGTATCACGGGATGGTGTGTGTTGCAGATTGACTCCGTGTGGGGTTGGGCTTCGCCCCCGCTGCGGTTGCAGCTGGGTAACTCACGCGGACACAAGAGGTGAGTGAACTTTCATATCATTGACTAATAATTGGCACGAATATTTTTTCACATAGTTTGAATAGTTTTTAATTGATGAGTGTGATAACATGCAACATGAAGTCATTGTTTCGTCTCTGGCTAGGTTTGTGTTGTAAATATGAGGCTGGCAACAGCTGACTGTTTATACAGCCTGATGCAGCCACTAACATTTAACATGTCTGTATCACGTGTAGTGTGAATGAGAAGCAAGTAATATACCAATGAAACATTTCATCAGTTTTGATTTCACAAGAGATACTTGTAATTTTGTGTTATAGATTGTGTGTTGGGCAAGAAAGCAAGGTAATGTCCTCTCCTTTGTATGATAACATGAGTAGATATTATCTGATAAAAAGTAACAACAGCACTGTTAATATAAATTATATGTATTTTAGAATTACCTAGTTGAAACTAACATTCTTCCTAGTTAACCCTTAACCAGTGAAGTATTTGTTTGCATAAAACATTAGATGACCTCCTATTGTGCCCTTAGTATAACTGTAGTGATATGTTGTAAATTGGGTCAAACATTGAGTTTTAATTTATTTAAACAAATGTTGGGTCACCACCAACTGTGAAGACAATGAACTGTTAAAAATGTTTACTGTTACTTCTTCATTAAATTCAGTTGGGTTTGGTGTGTGACAAAGTAATTGTGTGGACTGAAATGTTATGAATAAAATGAATGCACATCTCTGCATGTAGTATAACACACACAGGGTGATTGTATTGTGAGTTCCACTTGTTGATAATTCCACATTATAAACAATTTAACATTCTCTCATTGAAATCTCTCTTGTATTTATATTTTATTCCAATGCCTGTACTACTCAAAGAGCCATCCTGTTATAAATTTTATTCTTCCCATACAATAGCAAATGAGCTTGTTTAAAAAAATAATAATCAACATAAAGAATTTAATCTAGGTCAATCTGCACCGAGGTTTTAATATGAAATAGTTACTTTAGACATGAGGAAATAAAGTTTATAATGACCTACAGAAAATAATGACCCTGTCCATGCAGTTGATACAGAAATCAACCTAGATATAGTTGATACTGTATACAATTAGAATGTTTTACTGCAGCCCCATTACATCAGCAGTGATGTGTGCTACTGACATTACACAAGGTGATTGTGTAAATATGTGAATTAACAGAATTACCAATTAGTTTCCTGGTTAGGAGAGAGTTGCTAAGGAACTATATAAATTAGCCTTGACTGTGTGCTGCATACTTGCTTGTTCTTCCGCATAATTATTTGTTAATTTAACAAAATGTGTGAGCATTACTATTTAGATTACATTATGTAATTAACTTATAACTTAAATTAAATGTTCTGTAATAAGATACTTATGAGACCTAAATGTTATATGATTACAGAACTATATTGTTTTTATTTTAGTGTACCGGGTATAAAGTCTCAAGTATTTATTGTATTCAAGTGTGAGGCTAGAATTCACGTCATGCGTGTTATGAATTGCTGCATTCCAGGGCAATTTTAATCTGCAAATGTAAAAGTTATTAATTGGCTTTTATTTCAGGCAGCCTTCTATACTATATTATAAACTCTAGATCTCTCAAAACTCTAGATCCAAAATCTGTTAAAACAAACATACCCAGGTTGCTCCGTGAGTTTTCCTGAAAAGTATTTCATGGTCCTTCATGGGACTAGGGAATGTCACATCTCATAGCTTATTTTCATTGACTCGTGTGACCAAAACCAACGTGCGATAGCCACTTCTCTTGCGATAGGCAAAAACGACAGTTTCTCTCCCTATTCCCCCTTTGCAAAGTATCAGCGTAGTAGTGAAATTTCCAACGAATTTGACATACGCCAGACGCAGCGCTGCAAATTGCATGCTATTCACATAAACAACTCGCCCCAAGGTGGTTGACATTTCAGCACCAGACTGACCTACTTACCTAACTTAAACTTAGGTAACTGCTCACCACGAAGTATTGATTTTACTATAAGTAAAATCCGTCTAAAGAGTGTATTCCTTCTTTATGTAATTAACAATGTTCTAAAAATAGGGTCAATTTGCAATAAAATTATACGACAGGTAACTGGCGACACATATAACTTCATGGACATGAAAAGTAGGCGAGATCGCGAGGCAGATGTAGGTCATGGAACGACGGTTCCACATTGTAATAACAGTCAAACGTACAGTTTATTTATAATGCTTTGATAATATTGTAGTTTCGCTAATGATCTAATTAGATAAAAGCTGATATTTTTAGTTATGTCCGCGGTGACTAACGTTAGCACGAATACGAGTCGAATGAGTAGCACTTAGATTAGGACACTTGTATTTATAATGTCTCATCATCAGGTCTAAATACAAGTTTCTTCCATTTTACTTCGAACTATTTTTTCCTGTTTAAAATATCTTTTGGCCTAAAAACAAATTTTATCTCTACCAAGAAGATGATTGTAATATTTTAAACAACAACAATATTTTGAAACAGCACAGCTTATGCATCGAAGAGATAATGAAAAGTAAACAGTATATCGCCAGTTTATAGTACCAGTTACCAGTACCAGTAAGGACATGAAAAGCCCATCGTTTCTTAATTATTATTTCCGCACGCACTTTCACTGTCGAGGAATTTCAAGTGCTTAGTCATATTAATCTTTCTGATTGAGAGAATACAATATCATTCCAAGTGAATAAGATGAGAAGGAACAATACTATTATAATATCTACATTAACTTTTGAATTCGCAACAGTGCACGGATTATTTATTGTGGAAAATACCGCATACACTTCAAATTACTCGCATTCTAATATTTCCTACATGAATAGCAAATATTTCATTTTCCGTCGTCATAGATTTTTATCGAACAATCAGATTTCGATTTCACATTACAATGATGCACGCTTTCCTCAGAATATTGGATTGCCACTTCTGACGTGAATATTTGCAGAGCGCCCAACCCTAACAACTTCGATCGTCGACACACCAGTCATGTATGCCGTGTGTTTGTTCTGCTTCGTGAACATTCTCCAGTAATACAGTAAAGATGTAGTCTAGACTCACACAGCTATCTGGGCATTTGTCGCCAAACACATATTTGCTTAACTTTACGAAACAGTAATAAAATTCAAAATGTAAATAATGTAATATACAAGTATTTAGGTAGTAGATATGGACATTGTGGTTGGTTGCAGTATCAGACAAATACCTATTTAGTTAGGTATATTACAAGTCTAGATAGCGTTTATATTTTCACCAAGAATGCTGTACATAACGTAGATAAATACGACTTGTCTATAAAGAAACGCTGACGTGCAAATCTATGTTCTATTCCAGCATAACACAAGCTGAATCTCGCGGGCCGCATGCTGCCCTTTGGGCTTTCCGTCCGGCCCGACGCCATATTGTTTGAGGCCCGGAACATGAAGTAATTAATAAACTTACAAAATTACTTTAATTTAATGTTGCGATTAAGTGTATCAATGTTCAGTAGGGGCGGAGAGGCTTTGAGACTGCCAAAGATATCTTGTGAATAGGCCACTCCAAAGCTGTGTCAGAACACTAGTCTCCTGCCTGCAGCGTAGATCTAGTGGCTGAAAGACTGTGCTACATTATAATTTGTTCTTGCTGTGCAAATGTTAAGACAGGTGCTTTTTGTGTTCGCTTTTCCTACAAACTGTACGAAGTAAAGCGTAGTACAACGCTTGCGATGTGGATGTGGACTGTTCGCTTGCCGCTGCGTGGCCAGTGGCGCGGGTGTAATGGCGTGTGTGCGCAGGATGGGCGAGGGCGGGTCGCCGGGGGGCGCGGGCGGCGGCGGGGCGCGGCTGTCGCACACGTCGGAGAAGCACCCGCGCGCCATCCTCGGCGAGCTGTCCGCGCTGCGCCGACACCGCGAGCTCTGCGACGTCGTGCTCAACGTCGCCAACAGAAAGCTCTTCGCACACCGGTAAGGCGGTAACTACCAACTTGTACGCAATGACAACGTTATCTGTATTTACAAACAAACAGTGTTATCATGAAGACATTGAAAATTTCTTATCTTTAAACCTTTTTACTTTTAATAAACAATCGCAGTTAGATTGTGGCGTCCTTCATAAAGTGTTGCATGCGTTA